GAGAGAGCTCTACAGTAAAATAGTGGTCCCACTGAAGCTATTTCAGAGGCTCCTGGGGCATATGGCATCCGCAGCCGCTTCATGCCGCTCGGATTATTCTATATGAGACCACTTCAGCACTGGCTTCACGATCGAGTCCCCAGACGCGCATGGCACGCGCGCGCACACCGAGTCTCTGTTACTGCGCTGTGTCGCCGCGCCCTCAGCCCTTGGAGCGACCCCTCGTTCCTACAGGCCTGGGTGTCTCTAGAACAGGCGTCCAGTCTTGTTGTCGTTTCAGCAGACGCTTCCAACACGGGCTGGGGGGCTGTGCGTTGCGGGCATGCGGCTGCGGACCTGTGGAAAGGTACCCAGTTGCATTGGCATATCGCCTGCGGACCTGTGGAAAGGTACCCAGTTGCATTGGCATATCGCCTGGAGCTGTTGGCAGTGTTCCTCGCTCTCCACCGTTTTTTTCCGGTGCTGGAGCGGCAACACGTGCTGGTCAGGACGGACAGTACGGCGGCGGTGGCGTATATCAGCCGTATAGGGGGTATGCGCTCTCGCCGCATGTCTCAGCTCGCCCGCCGTCTGCTCCTCTGGAGTCATCCGCGGCTGAAATCGCTGCACGCCATTCATATTCAGGCAAGCTCAACCGTGCAGCCGATGCGCTCTCACGGCAGCCTTGCGTCCTGGAGCATGGAGACTCCACCCCGAGTCTGTTCAGCTGATATGGGCGCGATTCGGGGAAGCCCAGATCGATCTGTTGCTTCCCCCGAGATCGCTCATTGCCAGTTGTTCTTTCCCTGACCGAGCGCTCTCGGCACGGATGCACTGGCTTACAGCTGGCCTCGGGGCACGCGCAATACGCGTTTCCCCCAGTGAGCCTGCTCGCGCAGTTACTGTGCATGGTCAGGGAGGGCGAGGAACAGGTTGCTGGTTGCGCCCCTCTGGCTCAACCGGACCTGGATGTCAGAGCTCTCCCTCGCGATAGCCCTCCCCTGGCAGTCCCTTCGAGAGAGCACCTACTCTCTCAGCGACAGGGCACCACCTGGCACCCTCGCCGATCTTTGGAGATTTTTAGACGCGAGGAAGACTTAGGTAACCTCCGATTGCGGAGGCTAATACCGTCACTCGGGCTAGAGCCCCCTCCCCGAGCGCGCCTATGCCCTGACGTGAAGTCTATTCACTGAATGGTGTGTCTCTCGCTGAGAAGGCCCCCGTAATTTGCCAGATCAGCGTTGTGCTTTCTTTACGCCGAGAGAAGCTGGAGAGCAGGCTGTCGCCCTCCACACTCAAGGTTACGTGGCTGCCATCTCATAACGCGGTGGCTGGCAGCACCGTGGGAACGCATAACCTCATCATCCGGTTCCTCAGGGGCGTTAAGCGAATTAATCCACCCCGCCCCCTCTCATGCCCTCTTAGGATCTCGCCCTCGCTACACAAGCCGCGTCAGATCCCTTCGATCCTCGACTCAGTATATTTCTGTCCCTGAAGACAGCTCTGCTGGTCGCGTTGATATCGATCAGAGGGTCGGGGACCCGGAGGCATTTTTCGGTCAGTGACTCGTGCCTGTAATTGGGCTGGCTTCTCTCACGTATGAGACCCCGCCCGCGATATGTGCCCAAGGTTCCTACCACTCCGTTTTAATACGAGGTAGTGAGCCTGCAAGCGCTGCCCTCGGAGGAGGCAGACCCAGCCCTTATTTATTGTCCAGTTCGCGTTTTGCGTATTATCCGGACCGCACTCAGAGTTTAGATCATCTGAGCAGCTCTTCGTCTGTTATAGCGGTCGGCAGCAGGGAAGTGCCGTACCGAAATAAGTTCCCACTAGATTGTGGATGCCTTCTTTCACTATCAGAGCCGAGATGAGCCGCGTCCCCCGAGAGCGCGTGCGCACTCCACTCGGAGCTTCGCATCCTCTCGAGCGCACGCACGCGGCGCCCCTCTAACAGACATCTGTAGAGCTGCGGGCTGGGTGACACCCAACACATTTGCAAGGTTTTACAATCTGCGAGTGGAGCTGGTTTCCTCAAGGGTATTAGGTAACCCTTGGTGATTGAGGAAACAATTCGGTAGGGTGTTGAAACACGCTTGCTGCGCCATTTTCCCTAACACGGAGATACGTGCGCCTTTTTATCTGTCAGTAAAGTTCCCCATCAGGTGAGCCCTGCAGATTCCTCCGTGGCCCCCAGCACTGACTCAGCGGAGGAGTCACTTGCTGGCCCACTACGTTGTAGGTCTGCCCGCTGGTCAGCCCGCGTTTTGGGTAAAGGTGCCTGCTATGCGTGGTCCCCACTAGGCGATCCCATATGCTTATTCAGCCACGGTTAAGTCCCCCCCTGGGCGGACCCGTGTCTTCCCTCCCCGCTAACCACTCTTTTGCTATGCGTACTCCCCCTTTTAGGGCTAGTCCATATGTAAATTCTGCCATCTATCCCCCCTTGGGTAACGGATGGCCTCCGCAGCGTCCTCCCTATCGGGATTGCACGCTTCCCAACGTACTGTCGTATTTTCCTAGAATTATCTAGATGCTCACGACTTCCCAAAAAAATATATCTAAATCCGTAAAACTTCTGTTGAAGTAGGATAAATTAGGGCCAGGGACACGTTGGAGGACCGCGCCCCCCATGATGTGGGTGCGTCACGCTTGCTTGACTATCTCCTCATCGGGGGTGTTGGTAAGGTGCAGTCATTATGGCGCTTTCAATGGGCTCCCAATGCGTGGATTTTACAATCAAATCCACTTATAGTGCTGAAGTTCCCCCCGAAGGGGAACGTTCGAGGTTACTAAAGTAACCCTTCGTTCCCCGAGGAGGGGAACGGAAGCACTATACTCCGTCGCCATAATGACTGTCCCTTAGCTGTTGAAAGTCTCTTCAGCTTAAAAAGGATAGCGTCTGCTGGCGCCAGGTGAGCTTATATACTCAGTTGATTGCTTATGCCGCTCACCTGCGCAGGCTTGCGCTGCCAATTCATTCTTAATTGGCCCGTTCAATACTCTTTCAGACGAGTAGCTTCTGAACCGAACCTCCCAATGCGTGGATTTTACAATCAAATCCACTTATAGTGCTGAAGTTCCCCTCCTCGGGGAACGAAGGGTTACTTTAGTAACCTCGAACGTTGTGTGTTGTCTTAGACCTGACTCATGGCCAAGAATTAGGTTTATTAAGTCTAAACTCCAAATTGTCTCTAGTGTATGTGTGTGAATGAGTGTGTATGGATGTTTCCCAGTGATGGGCTACAGCTGGAAGGGCATCTGCTTCATAAAACGTATGCTGGGTAAGTTGGCCATTCATTCCACTGTGGCGACCCCAGATTATTAAGGGACTAAGCAGAAAAGAAAATGAATGAATGAATGAAGTCTAAACTCCCTGACCTCATCCCTCTTTTCTGCTTCATGCAAAAAAAAATAATTCTATAAGGAGCCATTAGTCAAAATAAGATCATCATGTTGTTTAAACTTTATACTTGCAAAACTCACAGCAGGCTGACACCTACAGTATAGCCTACATAAAAAGCTGTTACCCCTGCATAAAATGCACCCTCTCTGAAATATGCATCTATTAACTGAAATAGATACAATCTTTTTAATAACACAGAGAACCATTGCCTTACAGAAGACTGAAAGTTCTAATGAAAGTCCATGAAAGGGGTGCATTTTTACGGCAGGGGTGCGTTTCTCAGCACAACACAACGCATAAGTGGCGTGTGAGCAGTGTATATATATTTGACATGAATGTTTACAACTGGGAACATACCCAGATCGGGAACGCGAGCAGTGCGTCAGCGCAAGCAGGAGTGGCGTGAGAGGTGAGCAGGCATGCCATCTACGCGCATGCATCAGTTTGTTTTTGATTACATGGCTTTCACCAGTCTTGATTCAGTTGCACACAGAAAATAACATCTTTATATAACGAAAAAAAAGTATTTAAAACCGTCTTTAACAAAGCTAAGAAAATATTTCACATAGATGATTTTTCTGCATGAGAAAATGGATGTGTGGTGTGAGAGCGTGAGAATATTGTGAATTGTGTGACTCTTAAGCATGGCAGCTATGGTTTCGCACCTTTATCTTAGCATAAATCTTTTAGCTTAGCACTTTTAGCTTAGCATAGATTGTTAAATCAGATTAGACCACAGTTGTCAAACTCAGTTCCAAAAGGGCCGCAGCTCTGCACAGTTTAGTTCCACCCCTAATTAAACATACTTGATCAAACTAATTCCTTCAGGCTTGTTTGAAACCTACAGGTAAGTGTGTTGGAGCAGGGTTGGAACTAAACTGTGCAGGGCTTCGGCCCTCCAGGAATTGAGTTTGACACCCCTGGATTAGATCATTAGCCTCTCCCTCCAAAAAAATCGTTCCTATTTAAAGCTGGACTCTTATGTAGTTACAGCATGTACTAAGACCGAGGAAAAAATGAAAAGTGCTGCAAAACTGCGAAAGTCATAGCACGGAGGCAGAGTTTCTTTTATCACGCCATTGTAATAGAATATACTTCCTAGTAATATCGACCCAGAAGCAACTTTTCATTTTCATCTTAGCACACGATGTAACTAAAGAATTGTAAAGCTTTAAATTTATGTTTCAAATGAACTCTTTTTAAAAATGTTATGAGCAAAATGTAATTGATCTAATCCGATTCATTGAATTATGCTAAGCTATGCTAAACGTGCTCCTGCCAGACTCGGATATTGGATGAATGAATTAAAAAATGATAAAACTGAAGTGTTTTACTATTTTAAGATGAAAAATTGCTATTTACTAATTCCAAAACTGCTGTTTTATTGGATAAAACATATTATATAGGTATTACACTTCAGACTTAAGCAGTTATCTACTATGGCTCATTAAAAGAGTCACATATCAGATGACACAGAGTAAATGAACAATCTTAAATGAACTCAGGTCTGGACAAAACTCTGCACTGCTAAATAGGTATTTTATGGCTTAAATAAAATATTTCTATTAATTAGATTATTCCAGCATTTTCAGCATAGAAGTCACAGCACTTAACGTACCATTTTAGGTTCGACTGATTCAGCTGCCTTGGTCATGCCGTCCAGACACTTGCTGACGATTGGTAGAACTTTCCGCTCCACCTCGGTGTAAACTCGCATGCTCTCTCTCACCCGGCCCACCCGCCGCTCCTCCATCTCCTGTATCCTCTGAAAACACAAAATACATACATTAAACCTCACATATCTCATTGCGAAGTTCAAGATCCATAAGATATCAAAGTGCCCACATTATGATTTTAAAGACAGAAAAAATTGTGCTTATTCTCCTAATGAGTTGTGGGTGTGTTTTGGGCTTAATGTGCATTAAACCAATCAGAGACTCATCTCTTATTCCCTTTAAGAGTCAGTTGCGTTGTGCCAAGGTGCATTTGCTATTTACATGATGGACTTTGTAAGAGGAAACACTTGAAACGCTTCACTAGCAAGAAACTCTACAGAACGAGCCTCTTCCATTTGACTTCATCATTTTGACTATGGATTCGGGAAACGGTGGTGGACGCACTCCACTCAAGACATCGATTACATATTTAATTTGGTAATTTTATTTGTTAAGCACAAAGATTTGCTTCATCACAACTATTTCTAAATTCAGTTCTAATTTCCAGCATGAGAATAAATTAACAATAACAACAATATTATATCCAAAAACATGTCCTATTTCTATTCCCCATTTGGTGATGCATACATCTCTAAAGATAGGTGGAAAAATCTAAACAAAAAAAATGACAAAAGCTAATATAAATATGCATATAGTAACTACATAAAAAAACGTAAATTGTCATTATGTAACTGGCTATAACTGAGCTGGATTCCACAAAAGCTTCCTGAAGTTAAGAAGGCATAGGTGGAGGTAGCGTTTTTTTATATTTATGTAGAGAATTTTTAATTTTTAAAATTTTTTACATTTTAGGATATTTGTGTACTGACGCACATCCCTGTGTGTCTATTAAGCAATAAGGATGTACATTTGGAAGGCACATAAAACTAAGTAACAAATAAAACCCACACACCACCAACTTTAACCAGCTTTTAGGTGCTCAATGGCGCAGTGAATTTCAGTTGCCTCAAAATATCAACACACCTACAATATGCCTTAACACACATTTCAGACCAGCACACCCATGGGTGCATAACTGCGCACGAATTCATTTGGTTTTAAACGTGGCGCAAAACATCCATGCACTGGGGTAAAACTAGCAAAAAAAATAACTGTGCCGCACTTCCCCTCCAGTTTTAAAATTGTAATTTTAAAGCCAAAGCTCTTAAAGTGTATATAGTATACGTATAATGTAGTATATAGCCTTAGTTACACCAAACAGGTACAGTTTGGTGACTGCAAATGATTGCCAGTTGATCTGTTGGGTGTAAAATAAAATGGAGCTAAAAAATAGCCTAACCATTACAATAGGTGTGAAACATTGTGGTCTTAAATAATACAGTATAGAAAAATTACATTTTGATAAGTTGAAACTTTAAATTTAAAAAGTGATGAACAAAAACGCCTGATATTCCCTGATACACTTGGACAAAAAAGTATACAAATCCCCTGACTTTCAGGGTCTGGAATACACCGTTTAAAATTCCATGATATTCTAGAAATCCCATGACCCATTGTTATGATCGCCAGCGATTTAGCAATTGCAGATTGCTGGAGGACTACAACCACTTTACCGAACTACAAATCCTATCATGCCCGGCACTCACACACCAGTTCTAAATCACCCATTGATTTCCCACACACAGCTGCAGATCATCTTTACTGATTGCTTGGACTATTTAAGCACTGCATTGACATTCATTCCCTCCTTAGTATTATTCCATGTTCATTGCTTCCATGTGTTGCAATGTCTGGTTGTTGATTCTTGGACTGTTTTAAATTTTGATGGTTTTCTGCCTGCCCCGACCTTTACCTGTTTCTTGGACTACTCTTTTTTGATTGCCATTGCTATTTCTGTTTTGACCCCTGTCTGCCTGACCGTTCACTAAATAAAGCTGCATGTGGAACTCCATCTCTGTTGCCATGACTGCATCGTTACACCTATGGGCACCCTGAAATTAAAAGCAAATTTTCATATTTGGGTGAACTGTCCCTTCGTGAAGTAAATTTATAAACTAATTTGGAGAGGATCACATGCTTATGATTGCTTGCAGCCGGCCCCACATTATTCAATTTATGATTCACCAATCAGACGATTCCTAAGCCACAATAAGTACCCCAAGTTCCATATGACAGCCATCTTCGTTTTGAAGAATCCCCCCTTCCACCCCTACTTCTCATCCTTTTCCTAGATGGGTGGCACGGTGGCCCAGTGGTTAGCACTGTCACCTCACAGCAAGAACGTCACTGGTTCTAGTCTTTACCAAGCCAGCCGACGTTTCTGTGCGGAGTTTACACGTTCTTCCCGAGCTCACGTGGGTTTCCCCCGGGTTCTCCTGTTTCCTCCCACCATCAAAAAACATGCAACCTAAGTTAATTGACTAATCCAAATCGGCATCATAGACATGCTCCTAGTAAATGGTTATTTCTTAATAGCAGTTACTAACTGTTCATTAGCTACTACAGCAGGGAAGTTCTTGAGATCTACCTGAGCTCAAACTCCCCTCTCGCCTTGCAAACGAGAGGGAGCCCCGAGCTCGAGGATCTTATGAGCTCAGGGCTTTCTCCCGGGACAGCATGCCAAACAAGCTTTATAATCAATCATCAGCTAAGTGTTAACTCTTGAAAAATAGCAATAAAGAGGCACTTTTTTAGATTTTAGCCTTTTAAAGAGGCAAGATTTATAATATTTCAAAATAAAAAATTATTAATCATTATACTATTGTAATATGATCAAGATATGAAAACCTTAAAACATCCTGAGTGTGCCTCACACAGGTGAGTGGGCTTGACAAACCACCTGTAGAAAACACACTTATTCATCTCTCTGACACTTGCACTAGTTTTGCACATTTGCTCCAAACACTTTCTTTTTTTTTGCTCCAGACACTTAATTTTTACAATTACTCCATATCTCTAAAATAAAAATTGAGCATTCATGAAGTGTGCTTCACACAGATGAGTGGGCTTGATAAACCACCTGTAAAAACCCTCTTCTCTTACAAAAAAAAAACACTCCCCCCTCCTTATTCTAGTACTAATTTCTCCATGCACGAACAGTTCTTTGGTATAATTAGCCCCGTTTGTGTGTATTGCCTCTCTCTGAATGCCTCTCTCTGAAATTGTAAGTTGCTTTAAACAAAAGCATCTGCTAACTGACTAAATGTAAAAGTGTAATAGTAAAGAGAGTCTCCTACCTGAAAGATGTGTGGTATGAGTGTGTAGTAGTGTTCATGTTGGTCCTTGTTGAATTTCTGCAGGTAGGTCAGGTACTCGTTTTTACTGTCCTCTGCTATCTGATGCCTCATCTGAGCTTGCTGTTTCGCCTACATAGACACATCACAAAAGACAGAGCCAGAAAGACATTAACATCCCATCTGTGAGGAAGACATCAGAACATAAAGGGCAGGGACTGACAAATAAAACCATCACCTTTATGACACGACACAAGAAGGCAAACACTGAGAGTCAATTAGCAGATTACAGAAAGATAGAAACATGTAGTCGGGTGTCAAGTTTAGATCGATGCAGTCTGTAATTTACACACTTAGAGAGCAAAAGAGAGAGAGAGAAAGAGGACAAACAACGCAAACATCACAGATCGAATATATATAATCAAATGTTGTACTCCGTAATTATATAACATGGCTAAAGTGCTGTTTCAGTCATTCATTCAGCAGATTTGTGGTTTCTTTAATGCATCTTTACAGATATGTGAATGACTTTCAGTACACTATTAACACATCATACACTCATATCGCAATAGAATTATTTACCTTTATAAAATGTTTACTGATGAAATTAAATATAAATGTTCTTTATCTGACTCAAAGGGCACATGACTATTTAAGTACATTTATATTTTCTAGGATTATCTGTAAATTGGGTATTTTCATAAACAGTTGAGGGCAATTTTTAAATACACTCACCTGCCACTTTAATATTTACAACTGCAAATTTCTAATCAGCCAATCACATGGCAGAAACTCAATGCATTTAGGCATGTAGACATGGTCAAGACGATCTGCTTGCAAAACCGAGCATCAGAATGGAGAAAAAAGGCGATTTAAGTGACTTTGAACGTGGCATGGTTGGTGATCCCAGACGGCTGGTCTAACTATTTCAGAAACTGCTCATCTACTGGGATTTTCACGCATAACCATCTCTAGGGTTTACAGAGAATGGTCTGAAAAAGAAAAAATATCCAGTGAGTGACAGTTCTGTGGGCGCAAATGCCTTGTTGATGCCAGAGGTCAGAGGAGAATGGCCAGACTGGTTCAAGCTGATAGGAAAAGCAACTCAAATAACCACTTGTTACAACTGATATGCATACTGGTATGCAGAAGAGCATCTCTGAACGCACAACACGACCAACCTTGAGATGGATGGGCTACAGCAGCAGAAGACCACACCGGGTGCCACTTCTGTCAGCTAAGAACAGGAAACTGAGGCTACAATTCACACAGGCTCACCAAAATTGGACGATAGAAGATTGGAGAAACGTTGCCTGGTCTGAAGAGTCTCGATTTCTGCTGCAACATTCGGATGGTAGGATCAGAATTTGGCGTCAACAACATGAAAGCATGGATCCATCCTGCCTTGTATCAACAGTTCAGGCTGGTGGTGGTGGTGTAATGGTGTGGGGGACATTTTCTTGGCACACTTTGGGCCCATTAACCTATTGAGCATCGTGTCAACGCCTCCGCCTACCTGAGTGGAATGGGAGATTGGCATCATGCTTGTGCAGCCAACAAATCCGCAGAAACTAAGTGATGTTATCATGTCAATATAGACCAAAATCTCTGAGGAATATTTCCAGTAACTTGTTGAATCTATGTCATGAAGGATTAAGGCAGTTTTGAAGGCAAAAGGGCTCCAACCCGTTTCTAGTAAGGTGTGCCTAATAAAGTGGCCGGTGAGTATATTTTTAAACTGATGATTAACAGAACATTTCCTAGTCATACCTATTATATTTTCCTTCTGAAGGAAATGTTTTCTTTAGTTTGGCTGGAATAAGAGCAGTTTTCTAATATTTTATGTCAATATTGTTATCCCCCTTAAGATTTTTATTGATTATAGAACAAAACACTGCTGTCCAATGACTTGTGTAGTTAACCTAATTGAGCCTATAGAATGCACTTTAATCTGAATGCTACTATCTTTTGAAGTCACTAATAAAATATTACGTACTGTAATCATGGCAAAACAAAAAAGTTATTAGAAATATTACATAAAAGAAATGTGCCTTCTATAGATTAAACAGCACTTAGGAAATATTTACAAAATCTTTACAATTCAGAAATTCTAAAAATGTAGTCTTAAACAGTATGGTGATGTGTTAAGATTTTAAAATAAATAAATACATTTGAACTAATTTCAACTTTTAATTATTTAAAAGATAAAACATTCAGTATTGCTTCAAAACTAATACTTAATGCCTTTTTATCAATTTATGCATCAACTATATTCTAAATGCAATTAACATCACTTCCTGTTCTTTCAAAATTAGAAATGGAAGGTCAAGTTGATTTCCGTGCACTGTGGGAAATTTCACAGGTTGAATACTTCCCACTTTGGGTAATAAAGGATCACAAAAACAAATATACTCCAGAAATAGTGAGTTGGATGATATTATGCACAGTGAAAAAGACAGTAAATGTGATGAGGTACAGACAATATATGTAGATACACGCGCACACACACACACACACAAATGGCAATGAATGTTGATTTTGTTTCAAAACAAAACATTAAAATGGGTCCAAATGAATCGCACCAGACATCCGTTCATCATGCATTCTAACTAAACACCTACAGAAGACCAAAAAAGCATTTGCAAACTTAAGTCACACATAAATTTGTGAACATCATTGCATAAAACACTAAATATTAATCCAGCTTTGCATATGGGTAGTTGAAAAACAGGCAGTAAAAAGAGCTTTTATTGGTAAAACATAAAAAAAAAGGTTATTTTTATGTAGTTTGAAGTCTGATGTTTGAGGAAATATAAGGGATACTAACTTTATCATTTTTTCAGTGTTTTTGTTTTACTTTAAACTGTACCACCAAAATGTATTATAGTGTGACATAGCATGTTTTTAGATATAGATAGATATAGATATAGATGAAAAAATGATTGCCATTTACTAAAATACTAATTTTATGAGGTGTAATTTATTGAACCATGCTTTAGAGATGCCCAAACCACTAAAAAATTGGCCCATAGTAACCTTTGATTTGGCCCACCATCCCAGCTGAGAAGATAAGGAGAATGATGGGGAGGTGGTTGAGGCGAATGCCTTAGAGAGAGATTGTCATTTCAGATTTAACCTTACCTTTTCATTCTTTATTTTTTGCTCAGCCACAAGAAAAGCTAAAATAAATTTTCCAATTACATGTTGTAAATGAAAAGACATCGGCGACCAAATCAAGTGGTGCTGGTTTTCCCTGTTGAAAAATTTGTAATTTAATTGTGGTAAAACCAGCAACAATTAAAAATGAATGATTATATGGTGTCATGATTTGCAATAAAAAATACTGTTATAATAAAATTTAATGGGGCAAAAACAGCCACAAACATAATGAAAGGGTCGCAAATTTGCCCAGAGTCTATTGTTGATTTGTTTTTTTTAGGTTTTAAAACATTTTCCAAAAAATTGTGTTAGGGCTGCAGAAATCTGGCTAAAATAAGAATCATGATTTTTTTTTTTTTTTTTTTTAATAAAATCAAGATAAGGATTTTCTGAAGATATAAAATAAAGGTTACTATGAGTGAACTATTATTATTATTATTATTATTATTGTTAAACCTCAAATATATGGTAAAACATCAATAATATTAGGCCTATGTGTAGGTCTTCTGTTTGGTTAAAACGCTCAAGTTTGTATAGACTTGGAATGGTGGACTTCAATAGACTTTAAACATGTCCTGGTTGTTAATTCACAGTGATGTGATGTTATCAGAATACAACTATTAATAATTCAGAAGTTGAATTGTTAGGTTTAAGACATACAGTATGCTTGTCATTTGTCATTGACAACATTGATAATTGTTTCACTGATTAAATGAAACATTTGTCATTAGTAGATTCCCTCTTACATTATATTTAACATTATATAGGCTAGAGTACTTATACTGACACAGTAAACATTTATTTCCATGTACAACACTTTGTGTTTGCTATGAAAGGAAAAACATATGAAATGCTTGACGTAATTCTAACTGTAAAATGCGATAAGATCATTTAAATGATGAGCGTGCCAGTTTCACTTTCACTGCCCAGTGCGGCTCATGAAATGGCTGTTGTCAATTTGAGAAACAAAACAAACATGAAAATCATCCTTCCCACATGGCTCCCAAATGATCACACATGTGCAACAAACTAAATGTTATTTACGTTATTAGCTGTTATTCACAGCCTATGCAGGATCTGTTCACTTAAGTAGACATCATTGGCAGGCATGCGCCAAACAAACAATGCATCAATCAGCTTATGTGTGATTATGCTGTGAATACATCGATACACAAATTACATTTTTGGATGAATTATACCTTATAAGTACATTATGTGATGCTTTTAACGCCATTTGGAAGTGTCCATGTTGCTGAGCATCTTACTGTATATAAAACAATGTGAAGACTTTTGCGTCCGCCTTTACGCTTCTCTCATGACCTTGAAAATGAACTGGTCAATCGTAGTGGAACTGGATTAAGATTGTGTGTAGGGTTAAATCGAGATCACAATCTTTTTTCGATTATTCGTGCAGCCTTAATATGTGTCTAAATAAGATTTGGCACCCCAAATCATTCCATTTGCTGGAACACAGAGAAAGTTGTGGCCAAATTAAGACTCAAAATCACTCCAGCGTGGATGAAGACATCCCAAACAGCACACTTGGATTAAATATTAGGAAATAAATTTTAAAATTACCCATGTCAACTTTAATTTAATACAGTTTGGTATGTTTACCTTCGGCCCAGAGCTCTTAATCAAGTTTGTTTCATTGCCCTTATAAAGATACGTTTGGGCACCCCTGCTTGAGACAGTCATTCCATAGGATATTCAAGACAAAGAAATGTTTAACCATTTACTGCATTTTAAATACTACACTAATACTGATTATATTCATTTGAGTGATAATGCAACATCACATCAACAACCCATATGCAAAAAAAATACATATTTTACTCAAGCATTTTAGCTTATTATATTACAATTGTCTTATAGATGTCATCAGGTTTTGAAATGCAGTTGCATCATTTAAATAAAACAAATTGAATTATTTTACCAGCTTGAGCCACTTGATTTAATACTGCATACAATGCAATGAAATCCATGTATTTATTAATAAGCATCTAAATGCTTTTTGGGGCCGCTGTACATAAACAACAGCATGTACATGAACCAGACAGTGTGCACAGACTCTCAGACTCGGGACTTTTTTGTGGTCGACAGTAAATTGTGCAGTAATAGGTATTGATTTTGTGAATTCAGTCTCCGCTGTAACCCTTACAACGTAGCCCATTTTCGCATTTTAACATCAGTCTTCCATGACAAGTCTTATTCTGTACATTTGTACAAGGTGAATACAGGAAAAGGTTCGCTGCAAGCATAGACGTGAACGTAACAGAAGCTAAAAAACAAGAAACAAAACAAAACCAACAAAAAAAACCAACGAAAATTACGACAAACACTCTTTGCTGATATGGGTAATACACCGAACAACTTAACAAACTCCCCACCGACAAAGACGACTCTTGGTTCAAACCTACCTTGAGAGAACACCGCTTTAAGACATGTTAAAAAACAAAGACAGAGTCGATTAGTGTCACAGACGCACTAATAACAGAAGTTGCTTAAGAAAACATCTACACATGGGCAAAACCAAAGCTGATTCTTTGGCCTTACAGTCATGACAGGTTGCTGCCATTAAAACTGTCTTTGTTTCTTATTAAAAAAAAAAAAAATGTATGGGCTTAGCTTATAAAGTTTTTAAATAATATACATTTTCCTAGTGTGGCTGATTCATATTGCATTTTCAAGTGATTTTTTAATAAGAAAAAGCTTTGAATTTTATCACTTGCAATAATCTATTATTATTCATTTTGTAGGAGTGAAAAATTTACCTATTTTTATTTATTGTGTAATTAATTGTTTTATAAATAAAAATGAAAAAAATTTATATACACTCACCGGCCACTTTATTAGGTACACCTGTCTAACTGCTCGTTAATGCAAATTTCTAATCAGCCAATCACATGGCAGCAACTCAATGCATTTAGGCATTTAGACATGGTCAAGACGATCTGCTGCAGTTCAAACCGAGCATTAGAAAGGAGAAGAAAGATGATTTAAGTGACTTTTAACATGGCATGATTGTTGGTGCCAGGCGGGCTGGTCTGAGTATTTCAGAAACTGCTGATCTACTGGGATTTTCAAGCACAACCATCTCTAGGGTTTACAGAGAATGTGGGCACAAATGCCTTGTTGATGCCAGAGGTCAGAGGAGAATGGCCAGACTGGTTTGAGCTTATAGAAAGGCAAAAGTAACTCAAACTAGAATTGTACATTTCCTAAAGAAAATGTGAGTGGGGTTTGCATGGCAAATCGATGGGGTACAAAATGGTACTAAACTGGGCAAAATAGCAGTAAATGCGGAGAAACGGTTAAATTCATGTGCTTATGTGGTTGATAGGGTATTCTAAGTGGTTGCTAGGCTGTGGCAACGACGTTTTAATAAGTGAAAACAAAAGCGATTTAATCAGCCTGCATCAAAAGAGGCCAAACCCGGTGTTTCTATGAATCCTGTGCTGAAATATGGCTTGTTTGTGTTGTTATATGATTATTAGGGGGCTTAAAGTGGTTGCTAGGGTGTGTCTACAAACTTTTGAAGTCACTACTTAATACCGACTTGATAGGCCGAGTAAAATGAGCCCACTCTCAAGCTCTCTGAATTTGGCGTCAACAACATAACAGTATGGATCAATCCTGCTTTGTATCTTTAGTTCAGGATGCTGATGGTTGTGTAATGGTGCGGGGGATATTTTCTTGTCACACTTTGGGCCCATTAGTACTAACTGAGCATTGTGTCATCGCCACAGCCAACCGGAGTATTGTTGCTGACCATGTCCATCCCTTTATGATCACAGTATACCCATCTTCTGATGGCTACTTCCAGCAGGATAACGCACCGTCATAAAGCGTGAATCATCTCAGACTGGTTTCTTGAACATGACAATGAGTTCACTTTACTCAAATGGTCCCCAAAGTTACCAGATCTCAATCCAATAGAGCACCTTTGGGATGTGGTGGAATGGGGGATTTGCATCATGGATGTGCAGCCGACAAATCTGCAGCAACTGCGTTATGCGATCATGTCAATATGAACCAAAATCTCTGAGAAATATTTTCAGTACCTTGTTGAGTCTATGCCCCGAATAATTAAGGCAGTTCTGAAGGCAAAATGGGGTCCAACCCAATACTAGTAAAATGTACCTAATAAAGTGGGCGGTGAGTGTATTTGAGACTGTATTTAACAGATATTTTACATTTCACTGAATCTGTTTTAAATTGAATGTTTGAAATAAGTAGATTGAATTGATTTTCAGAAACAAATCAAGTTTTGTACACTGCAGAACATTTGTCTGTGATTATTAGCAAAACAGACATTGCAATGACTCTAAAATACATAAAGTACATTCTTTTAATCTCATAACTCAAATTGTTGCTTATTTTATTATTTTTTAGAAAGGTATATAGTTTTAGAAACCTGCCCGAGAATTTATTTGGTTTCTTTGAATTGAAAAACAAATATAATTTAATGCATTTAAATATATGCACAATTCAACAAATGGCAAAAATGTGTGTTAATAATAAATATACTAAGTTACATATTTGCAAGGTTTCTGAAACCTGGCACTGCATTGGAAAGTATTATTAAACAAAAATATGATATAAAGATATTATCCACCTCTTTCTCATTATTGATATGTGCCCCTTTATACATTTCTGGAGAGAGCGAAATATGTCCCAGAAGGTATGCTTTTTTGCCTGCTGAATCCACCAGAGGCCACTGTCATTAGACTGACCTATTCCTTCACCCACCCCTTTCCCTAAACCCAACTGATAGTGTTTACAAAAGCACCAATTGACCCAATCACCCCCTTCCCAAACCCAATCGCAGTGTTTTCAAAAGCAATGTAGAAAAACACATTTTTTAGATCTTAACACATTCTCACCCTGTTATTTACCGTTTATTTTATTTGTTGGACTTCTGTTGGAACTTGTTGCTTTTTGTTTTACCCGCTTTCTGGAACCGTTCTTTGTCAAACTCGAACCCGGTTGAGGCGGTCAACTACTCTCTGCAGCTCACGTCCACCAACGCATATGGCGAGCTACTGGGAAAATTGGTAACAGTGGAAAAGCCGTCCATGCAGAGGTAAGCAACATACCGTCCCATAGCATCATATCACCCCATAGCGGTTGTTTTAAAATCGAAATGCAGCAATAAGTAACTATGGCTACATAATTCACACTCTCCAGAAATGTATACGGGGGTATATTTTCAAAATGAGCCTGTGTTGATATTATCTGTTTTTCTAATCACTCTAGTAATACGTCTAAATGGCAAATAATAAAGACCTATGAAACATTAGCAAGAATCAAAGTCTTGTTTATTGTCTGAAGTGTTGTAGGGTAGGAACAAGTGAGGTAAAAGGTATGAGGAGGAGATATTCACTCTAACTTTAATAAAGTTAAGCTTGCCATGGGTTATATCACCATCCGTCACCACTGCCTCGTTTCAAAGAGGGATCTTCCACACAGACTCACAGAAAAGGATGAAAGCAGTCATGGAGAATGAGGATTTGTGAAAGGATCAGTCTCTTCACACGCATGCAAACAGGGAATACGTACCTTTTCCACATCAGCTTTAGTCACGTTAATGTCCGCGTCCATCTTGTCAAAGTAATGCTGGGCGCGATCCGCTTCCTTACAGTCTCTCTCAAATCTTCTCTTACTCTGCAAATAAACAAACATATAACATGTCAGATTCATTTTATACTACTCATTGCAAACAGTTAGCGTTGATATATTTGCACTGTAAAAACAAAAGAAGTTGACTCAACTTAAAATTGTAAGGCAACTTTGCTCCACAGCTTTTTTTGAGTTAACTCAACTTTTAACCCGAGCACTGCACTTAACTCAATTTAAGTTAAGTCAACTAAAACAGCTCTGCAGCCAGTTGCCTTACAATTTTAAGTCGGATTTTTTTTGTTTAACAGTGTATTAAAGTCTTGGTAAACCAGAAGTTGCTAAAGACTTTTATTTTGGTATGATGTATTTCCAACTTAAACAGAATATAAAGTAGGGGGCGTGGTTTTTTTTTTTTGTGCTCCACTAGCAGCAAAGCAATAGTTGGAGGGCGTGGCTAAGCATATTTTAAATATGCCTTTGAACTGACGTCTGTTATGGACTAATTAATGCTTTATGTTACTACAGATTCTTTGGGTGTACTCACACTAGGCACACTTGCCTTAAACTGTGCCGGGGCACGCTTTTCCCCCTTTCCCTCTCCCCCATCGGCCCGCACTCACTCACACTGCATTTTATCTTTTGAGCTGACTTTTTCATAAAAGTCAGTGTGCTGCACGTATTAGGAGGTTTGTTGAAGATGGCAGCTGACGTGCAGCGAGGGGTTTGCATCTTTAATAAACTATTACAGTTCGCATTCATTGAAAAGTTCATTCATTCATTCATTTTCTTTTCGTCTCTTTATTAATCTGGGGTCGCCACAGCAGAATGAACTGGCAACTTATCCAGCATATGTTTACGCAGTGGATGCCCTTCCAGCTGCAACACATACACACTATGGTCAATTTAGCCTACCCAATTCGATACTACATGTTTTTAAGCTTGTGGAGGAAACCCACGCAAACATGGGGAGAACATGCAAACTCCACACAGAAACGCCAACTGACCCGACTGAGGCTTGAACCAGCGACCTTCTTGCTGTGAGGCTTAGTGAAAAGTAAGAATGATTAATAAATCCAAATGAAACAGTCCCTTAAAAGTGACATCAGATCTTCAGATTCGCGCTCAGGTTCGCTTTGCACTCACACAACATGTATACCGCACCTGAGCCCAACTGAAGAACACTCTACCACTACCACTCACGCTTGTCAAATGAACTGGGAAATGAGTAAGGGTGTAACGGTTTACGGTTGATCTGTGATCCATACAGATCACAACCCACGATTTGGAACGCATGTGAGCTGCAGATTAATCTAATTTTTTTCGAACTTGTAGGTTAATACAACATTTATAACAACTGCAGAGAAATCGTCTCCCATTTGAACCACATGTATGAAAGCATTTTGGCTGAGCTGTAAAATATAATGATAATGGAAAATGGAAAAAGTTGTGGTGGGACCTACCTGAATGCTTTCTTAGGTTATTAATTAAATGTGTTTTCTGTCACTGTTTGTTTAGCCTGCATTAATGCATTCAGCGCAAAGCTGCACAATTAGACATTAAAAGATCGTAATCTCAATTCAAACCGGCAGCAACATGAATGATAAATGACAATGATTTGCATGTTTATTATTTGAAAGCGCTGCATTCAAATCTGAGTTTGATAAAGAGAGCTTCAGATTTTACACATTTTCAGTTCGTTACAAACAATTAAATAACACAGAGGTACTGAGAGAACAGTTTATAGTTCAGATTTAAACACTGATGTTTATGGTAAAGATTAAAATCACAGTTTAATGAAACTTGACGCTGATGAATTTTGTAGCAATAACATTGTGTAACCAACAGGTGGTGACAAACAACCATCAAAATAATGTCACTGAATAGGTTTTCAAAATGATACGCCTTAAAAAGCCCATATTATACATGAAATAGGGTCATATCTTGGTTGTAAGGGTCTCCAACAACAGTCTAATATGCATGCAAGGTCAAAAAACACTTTCATGGTCTTATAATCTGCATTTATTTTTACCTAATTATTCCAGCGACTCCCGTATGAATCATCCAGTGATTCATTTGTTCCCAAACCCCTCCTTACAAGCTAATCTGCGCTGATTGGACCGATGACAGTCTGTTGCGATTGGTCGACTGCCTTCAGTGAGAGAGTGAAATGCCCAACAGCTAATCAGCAATATAAAAGTAGTCAGTTCATACACGCTCGATAGTGTAGGCGTGGATTTTAGCTGCCAGTGGGTCAATGTAAATACAGACGATGGACTTGAAAATACAGACGACTGACTATTTTATTGAGCAAAAACTCCAAAAACTGTTGAGGAGATCTCCTAGCTTGTCTCACTCTGCTCTTTTCACAGACACACACACAAACACACACACACATATTGCCCTCGTCCTTGCGCACAAACACACACACTTAACTCTGGACGACAGCGCGCGCACACACTACCCTCCTCCACGAAGCTCCGTAAACAAAGCAGCACGCGTCGCGTTTTTAACGTGACTTTTTATCGATGAATCAACCGTTTTAAACACTGTACTCTTACAGATTTAAGCCTTAGCTGGATACTTCACTTAGAGCTGTGTTACACACTACATGGAAGGGCATTTTCAAAAACCCATGATATGGGCTCTTTAAATAAACATGAAGTTTTATGTGTGAATTGAATCATTGATTAAAAATTAATATGATATGTTGTAGAAGATGTTAAATTTTTATATTTAGCATTAGTAGCAACAGTAGCAAAGATAATTTTGCATATTGAATATTTTCCGTTTTTAGCTGGTTCTTTCCTAATTTTTTTTTTTTTTAATAACAGGTTCTAAGTTCTGTTTGTTAAACCAATGTTTTTTGCTGTAACATTTTTGTATTAATGGAAAGCAAAAGACATTTGTCTCCTCCCTTTTTTGCTGATTCAAAAAATGGTCCAATCCGTGACTCAAAAACCATAGTGCGATCCGAACCATGAGATTTGTGATTCTTTACACAACTAAAAATGAGTGTCAAATGCACCCGGGCACGGCTCTAATAGCCTACTGTGAGTACACCCTTTGATGTGTACTACACAGTAGTGTTGTCAAAAGTATTGAGTTTGGTGCCTATTGGTCCTGAAGATTTAAAAACATCCATTTGTCGATAAAATTTAAGTGCTGTTGAGCTCATACTTAAACAGCGCTGACTGGCCATTGTGTTCACATCTCGCTTAACAGAAATGACTGTGATTGGCCATGACGGTCATCAGTTCACTGCACCAACTGCAAACACGGATACAAGGACACTGGATCGTTTTAAAGCCACGTCGATCTGTTGGTCTTTCTTTAGGCTGACATATGAGCAATCTGCTGACAGATCTACTGATCTACACAGCTTTGAAACTCCAGTGTTCGTATATCTGGAATTGCACTCAGTGAACAGCAATGAAGAGTGTTGAACTGATGATCAATCAGTCCAATCACAGGCATTTCTCCACAGCACTCAAATGTTGGCTGGAAATGGATGTTTTCAATATTTTAGTATTAATTGTTGTCGAAGCTAATACTTGTGACCAAAGTACTACTCAGTATTTAAAGCATGTGCTTTTCAGCCATCTATGAAGAACGCAGACTGTCAAACACACATGCAGAAGTTCACTACAGCTATCTTTTTGAACTTTCATAAATGTCTATATATGTAAAACTGTCAGCAATCCTATTCATACAACAAGTTCAAATCAAGGGCATCAAAACTGGACAGGAAATAGCCTATTATGTTTATTATGTGTTTATTATGTTTTTTTATTGTAAAAAATCTTGATAACATCAAAAGTGGTTGTCATAAGACAGTGTAAAATAAACATAAAATAGGCAGTTCATGACTCCTTTAAAAACGGTAGCGGTAGGTTACTGTTGATTGTCTTTTACAGTCAACTGTAGCTCTTTTCACACAAGCATTTATTGTAAAAGGCTGCCCAGTTCCAGCTCATATCTCCGCCAGGTGATGAAAGAGAGGCCAATATCAGGAAAAATTTGAATATCCACATTATGTTCTGTTGAGTTAAACTGACTCACCGATTCCAGCTGCTTCCAGGAATTCTCAATGTGCTGCTGCGCTCGGCGGCCATCATGGAAATGCTTGAGAAAAGAAGAGACAAGAAATCGAGTTCAAAATTTATAAACACAAAGAATAGGGTCTGTATTGGGGTCTTTTTTATAATGTTTTAATAAGACTTTTAATGTGTTTCTGTATTTAGTCATTATATTATAAATGTTTGCAGTTCATATCTATATTATTTATAAATATTTGTTTCTTTATTGGGCAGCACGGTGGCTCAGTGTTTAGCACTGTCACCTCATTCATTCATTTTCCTTCAGCTTAGTCCCTTATTTGTCAGAGTTTGCCACAGCAGAATAAACCGCCAATTATTCTGGCATATGTTTTACGCAGCGGATCCAGTTTGCAGGATTTTTTACAGTTTTTACAAATCCACTAGAGGCCACCATGTACACTTTTTTAGATCTCAATTTTCTTTCTTAAATGCCATTCGCTCCTGTTGACTGACTGACCAACCGATCACTCCACCCACCCCCTTCCCTAAACCCAAACAAATAGTGTTTAAAAGCAATCCAGAAAAAGAAAAGACCTTGTCTGATTTTTACCATGTTTTGAGATCTTACCATGTTTTCACTCCTGTTATTTACTTGTTTATTTTATCTTTTGCTTTTGTTCAATTTATCTTTGTGTCTCAAGCCGTCGGCAGCGTCATACCACCCCGTAGTGTTGGTTTTGAAGACGAAATGCAGCCATACGTAGCTCTGGCTACATAATTTGTGCTCTCCAGAAATGTATACGGGGGTACGTTTTCACAATGAGCTATACTGTTTAAGGTTGAAGTTTTTTAGACGTTATTATCAGTATTGTTACTTTTTAGTATACCTATAAGTTAGTGTGCTCCAAAACAGTGACAAAATTCATATTTTGAAGATATAATACTGATATGAACATGAAAACCTTGCAGTTTGTCACTTCCGCCGAAATGGATCAGAAATGTTTTTTCACGTCAGCTAATACTTCATTTTCTCATCAAATCCTGACCAATCAAATGTTCTCTAGCATTGCACATGGTCCACCCCCTTAAAGGTGCTTCTCATTTGCTTTTCATTTGATACGCTTGAGCTCAACCACTCTCACTGGCAGAGCTGTAATAAAACAAAACACTATTGGCTGTTTTTTTAAAAAGGGAGGAGCTACACTATGTTCCACTCTCTCTTCATGTTTCGGTTTAGATTATGTCAAACATCGAATAAAAAGTGCACATTTCAAAGCACTTCATAGGACCCTTAAAAAAATCCATGTCCCTTCTTGCACAGTCATCACAACTATCCCAATCTGACTCATTATTAAGTTGCCGACACGTCCTTTAAAAAAATAAAAAATACATTATGCTGAAAAGACATTTAATTGGAAACTAAGCTGATTAAATGAAATATGAGACAATCAAGCCAGACAGCAGCTGCCGGAAGATTATATTCCAGAGCTGCCGCTGATTCCAAATCCCTCGTCATTCCATAAAAGAATTCAATTACGGCGGAGAAGACGTGCTCCTGTACAATAAATGATAATTAACTGCAGAATTCCTCCGCTGGAACACAAATCATTTATTTAGGGGGCCCTCATTAGCAAAAAAACTTCACTGACAGCCCGGCACAGGCGATCGCTTGTGTCAGCCCACTCGCAGGCATACCACGATGAAAAATACATAAAGACCACTTTCTCTCTCCGTGACATTTTGAACACAAAAGACTGACGAAATGCATCAGCGGAGGTTGGAGGAACAGTAGAGGCGAGCGAAGCCGTTTTGCTCTGCTGTCGTATTACTTCCAGCCACCAGCTTCAGACAGAGGCCTCCTGAACCCGCTCAAGAACCTTTAGACAAGAGGGACCAATAGAGGAGGGGGAGGGCGACCTTCTCAAACTCCACTGACCTGAATACATGACCCACATTGGGCCTGAGAGCTGGGGAAAATCATAAACAAAAATAATACCATATTCCTACACGATTAACCCTGGATTTGTGCGAGGTGAGCGCTGTGCTAGAACGCAGAGGAGGAATTACTTTGATGCTTTGGTGCGTGCCTTGAAAGGGCGATTTGTATGTTATTGAGGGATTTTAATCTTTTTTTTTCTGGAAGCTGATCTCTAGAAAGTAGTTTTTTTTAAGGATTTAATCCTGTTATTGATTTTCTTATTTGCAAATAATGCACATGAATGTCAAATACAGAGCATTAACACAAAAGCAGAACAATAAAAAATAATAAATACAGTAAATAAATACATAACGTCATATATAGAGGGAAAAATAAGTATTGAACATGTCATGTTTTTACCTGGGAATAATATTTATAAAGGAGCTGTTGACATGGAATTGAACCAGATTTTGGTAAAAATTCAAACAATACAAACATAAACATAAACGTAAAACAAAACAAAAAAAACCTGACAAATTTGTTATGAGTAGGCCCGCACTGAATCTGCCCGCGCAGAATTCCGCAGATTTCTGCAGATTTTCAGCCCATTATTAATTCTGTTTATTTAATTAAGTAAATATGTGTAAAATTCATATGTATTGTTTTTAAATTAATTACAGTAATATTATTGACTAATTTGAAAATGTTCATCTGATTTATGTACGATGCAGTTTGTAAAGTAATGTTTTCTGTCTTTTAGTAGATATATTATGAGAGACTTGCTTTGTTTACTTTGTTAATCTAACTGAATTTGCATTTTAAACATTAAATAAAATTTAAATATATTATTTTTGTTTTACACATTAAGGTTTTAGTTAGGATACTCGCAGAAATCTGCAGATTTTTACCAAAATTCTCCACAGATATATCAAAAAACGTCCACAGATTCCGTCTGGTCCTAGTTATGCGTAATAAACATAGACTGTAAATGATATGGACGTAGTATCCGTGACGTCACCCATAGGTTTTTGAAGAACACAAAAGAAGCTACAAGTAGGCGTGGCCAACCGTCACCATTTTATTTGCACGTCATCGCACTGACCGGGGGAAACTAAACAAGGGCAAAGAGGTGGAGCGTGAGCGGAGCTACAAACGCCTTCTAGCATTTTGCTTTGACAGGCTTCTCTTTGAGAGAAAAGCTTAATACTTCATTACCTGCGACTCGTTTGTGTTCTGACCACATGTGCTTGGTTGTGTACTATATCAATAAAGTATTTAGCCCTTTAAAAACACTGTTGTAATACATTGAGCCACTAAACATTGTTCTTATGACGTTTTTCTACCAGAGGACAATAAAAATTACTTCCAAACATGTAAAATATAGTTTGTGTTAGTAAATGCAAGGCTACTTATGGAATCCAGGCATAAAACTGTATGACAACGTGCACAATTAAGTGCACGTAGCATGCCATATCATCTGATAATTGTAGGAAATAATTCCAAAAATCAATTGACTGTGTAAAGCCACATAAAACAAAACAAAAAACCGATGTATATGCTGAGTTCAGTGGCTAATCAGCCGGAACCAGCTGAGGTGAAGTGATGTCAACCAGCAAGACCTAGCTGTCACTCAAATGGCCCTACCCTTAATTACGCAGACTTAATATAACTTAATATATACTAAATGGATGAGTTATAAAGACCCCCCCCACTTCAGTTGTCATGAAGGGTAATATTAGTTATATGAACCAAAATCGTTCTTTGTACCAGGCTGTAAACACCTTTTGTTCTGCTGTAAAGTTGCCCATTTTAACATTGGGGTCAACACAAATCTGCTTTATTATAGAGCCAAGACTAGCGGAATTTCGATGAATTGATGTTTCAGTTACTTCCGTATTTGCTTCACAAGGGAAAGTGGGAGGTTGTTGCTTGCTAATAACAATAAAATGACACAAGGAGAAAATGCTGAACTACTCAAACGTATTTAATTTTTGCGTTTTGGATCATTGTCTTGCTGAACTGTCCACCCTGGTCACCTCGATAATGTAGATTTTAGACAGAAGCATCTAATATTATTTTACAATGACACAGCTTCTGAAGAACTACTTGGAGATTTCAGCTGCTGTCTGGGATTTCACTGCCTTTCTAAACCGCCTTCTATTTTTTTCCATTTCATTTTATTTCACAAAACTTAAATTGTAAGCCAATTAGTTTAGTTTTTGTTGCATATATTTTTGGTTGTTAACAACATCAGGGGAAAATTTCAAACCAAAAGCACATTTAGAAATGTTTTCTGAGAAAAATAGTGACGTGTGCAACACTTATTTTCCCCTCTGTTAACTGAGTAAATATAGACCAAACACAAACAAAAAAAAAAGAAAGCAATTTTTTTTGGAATAGAGACTTACCGATTTGCGTTCAGCTTTTAGTTCTTGGGTGTAGCGGCTCAGTTCAGCGATGATCTGGGAGGACAGGTTTTCCGCAATGACTTCGTGTTGGCCTGCGTAGTCGTTCAGCTCATTTAAGGTCATCAGAAACGCTCGACATGTTGTGTACCTGATTGGAAATCGGAAAAATGTAATGAAGCATCACAAAATGGCAAAAATGAAATGTGATACACATAATATCGCTTTGCTTATTTAGGACTGGTCCACTCATGATTATGACTCATAAATACAAAAGCAAATTCTACTCATATAATGAAAGCAAAATACATAGTGTTCTCAATACATGTTAATATTTGTGATTTAATGTCATGGTGATAAGTTATATTTTAACTTTAAATGTTTCAGACAGTTTTTAAATAATATTTCCTAAAGGATTGATATTTTGTTATATAATGCATTATATACAAGCATTCATACAGGCCTTGCTGAAGTGTCCAGATAATTCTAGGGTGGTTAGTAAATATTAAATTAAATAATATATATTCTGAAAAATTAATTGTCACATAAAATGTACTTAAAATTTACTGCGATCAAATCAAACAACTTTGACGTCTAAATAAAACCAATTTGTGCATATATGCTATGAACGTTTAAGTCAGATTTGTTTTTTGGAAAGAAAATATTAGTTTCTTTACCCAGGATTCAATCTATTACAACAACATTGATGATGACAACAATAATGCATTAGCATATTACAATGATTTATGATGGATCATGTGACACTGAAGACTAGAACAATTATGCAGACAATTCATTATACAAATAAATTACATTTTAAAATCTATTAAAATAGTTTTTTTAAATAGCACTTTTAATACTGACTTAAAACTAGTAAATGATAGTACATAAGGAATTAATTGTTTTATGCGAGTAAATTTGAGCCATCATCAGTAAATGATTACAGATATGATACTGATGCACATGCACATGATTTATGAATGCCAAACTGGCCTCACTCACTTGTATTCCTCCTCTTCTTTCGAGTTCTTCTTGAGCTGATACTTCTTAGACAGATTCCTGAAATAAGACAGATATGCTTCATGATAGGAGTATTTTTCATTTTCTTTCTGTAATAAAACTATATAAGTTCGCTATTAATGAATTATGCTCATTTGAAACAGTTCAACACTTGTTTAATCAATAGATTGCAATAGCACATGCCCCTATTTCCCCAAAAGCTGGCTCCTGAAGTATTTTTTACATTCATTTTCCCATGGATTTAAAAAAAACCTCTTGGTTATAGCATTATAAGCCAAGAAGCAAAGCCAATTTAAAGTCAACCAGCATTTATTTTAAGCTGGCTAAGTATATGAAAATCACCAAAAAGATAAAGATACTAGACTGTTTATTTAATGACTTTAAAGGGTTACCAAATTTGGATATTATGTTAATAATTAACCACTCTCATGTCGTTCTAATCCTCTGAAACCTCTGAGATATTCAGATATTTTAGATGAAATCCAGCTCTCTGGCCCACTACAAACTCTTCTAAGACGTTCAAAGTCCAAAAAAAAGAGCCAAAAAACATTGTCAAAATATTCCATGGGACTTCAGTAATGTAAATGTAATGTAATGTGTATTTATATAAGGGCCGATAGAGGGACTTTGGCCAGAACACCAGGGTTACACCCCTGCTCCTTCACGAGAAGTGCCATGGGATTTTTAACGACCACAGAGAGTCAGGACCTCGGTTTAATGTCTCTTCCGAAAGACGGCGCCCACTGACAATATAGTGTTCCCTTCACTTTTACAGGGGCATTAGGACTCACACAGACCACAGGTTGAGCGCCCCCTGCTAACCCCACTTCCAACAGCAACCTAGTGTTCCCTAGTGGTCTCCCATCCAGGTACTAACCAGGCTCAGCCCTGCTTAGCTTCAGTGAGTAACCGGTCTTGGGCTGCAGGGTGATATGGCTGTTAATTCAGTAGATCAACTGTAACCATACCAAACTCCAGAAACACTTTTAGGCATCCAAATACTGTAAAAATGACTTCGACTAGGTATTCCGCGTTGGATTAGGTGCATGTTTACTACTACAGGGTTTCTATAGGTTTCATCAAGTCAAATTCAAATATTTTTAAGACCTTTGTTTTTGAGACCATGAACTTTCAGGCTTACACAGGGCTAAACACTAAGCATTGTCAATGGCCCAGCAGCAAAAAAATAAATAAATTACTTTCTCCATCACAAAACTAATTCTAATTAGTACTAATTCTAATTAAAGTATCAAAACAAGCAGACCCTAGTTGTAAACAAACTAATTTTTATAAAATCTCTATGAAAATTATAATATACTAAATGTTTGCACAACAGACTCTTATAATATTAGTTATAAATAGACTTTTGCTATAAAGTTTTATTGTGTGTTGAATCAGTTGGCTAGCATAAACAAAGGAAAAATAAGACCTATTTAAAATGATTTAAGATCTGCAAGAAAATATTTCTGTGATTTTTAAGGGTGCTTTCACACCCGTGGATCGATTCTCTTGTTCCAAAGCGAGACCACCTCTTCAGGCGATTTCGGACTGCTTGATTCACATATGCCAAACGAAATGTGCCAGGTTCCGAAACAAACATCTAGGTGTAAAAGCATCCTTAGACTTTTTAGAGCCTAAATGTAAATGTAAGACATTTGAAGACTAGTGAACAAACTAGTTTTACAGTTTTTTGGTGCACACAACTGTTCTTGGAGCTTCGTAAAATTACATTTGAACCACTGAAGACAGAAAACGACTGTTTTGACAAAATTCTCTCAGATTTAAATCTGAAAAAAACCTTTATTTCTGTTTCTAAAAAGAATGAAGGACTCAAGGGATTGAAACCACATGATGTTGAATAATAAATATTTAAAATTATATTTTTTTAATTAAGTAACCCCTTGAGGGAAAAAAAGCATTTCAATCCCATAAGCAAAGCCATGTAATGTCACAGTCAAATTAATATTGATGCAATACAAAACTACTCATGTAGAGTAGATGTATCTTCACTGTAAAAAATGCAAAGTTCCACACAATTGATTCATGTTGTCCCAACAAAAATCGATTAAGTTAACTTAACACTTTTAACAAATTTATGTGGACCATATGTGGACTTATACTGTCTTTAAATGTATATTGTTAATCAGTTATGGTTAAGGGCTGCTTGATGTTTGAAAAATCTGACATTGCAAACTTTTGTTTTGCTGCGTTTATTTTATTTATTTGATTTTATTTATTCTTGAACAGAAATATCATACATAAAATATCATTAACAAAAAATACATTTCAACATGGTTGAAAATGGAGTGGGATGAAGCACAAGCTTATTATTTTCTCACCCCTTTACCACATAATTTGTCTATTACATAAACTTATTTCTTCTTTTACTTATCTCTTCTTTTTACATGAGACATATTTTATCCTTTTGGCATATTTGAGAAATTATATGTTTGATTCCATTTGTACAATTACATTTTGTAACATAGACCCAGAGAAAAAATTAACAGTACTGCAAATAGCCATTAATTACAATTTAATCATACCTTTCTCATTTTATCCTTTTTTCAATCACCTTCATCACTATATTCCTTTTTTAATAAACATTTATACAACTTTTTAAATTGATTAATATCCTAACATTGTTTGAAAGTCTGATCTAGACCAGTGGTGGGCAAACTTGGTCCTAGAGGGCCGGTGTCCTTCACAGTTTAGCTCCTACTCTAATCAAACACACCTGCTTATACATTCTAGTGATCTTGAAGACACTGATTAGCTTGTTCAGGTGTGTTTGACTAGTGTTGGAACAAAACTCTGCAGGGACACCGGCCCTCGAGGATCAAGTTTGCCCATCCCTGATCTAGACTGTTCCATAATTTCACACCACAGACAGACGTACACAAACTTTTTAAAGTTGTCCTTGTTTTCAACCTCCTAAAATATTGTTCTTCTCTCAGATTATATCCCCCTTGTCTTTCTGTGTGGAGTTTGCATGTTCTCCCCCCATTCGCGTGGGTTTCCTCCAGGTGCTCTGTTTGCGCTGCAGGTGAATTGAGTAGGCTAAATTGTCCGTTGTGTATGAGTGTGAATGGATGTTTCCCAGAGATGGGTTGCAGCTGGAAGGACATATGCTTCGTAAAACATTTGCTGGATAAGTTGGCGGTTCGTTCCACTGTGGCGACCCCAGATTAATAAAGGGACTAAACCGAAAAGAAAATGAATGAATGTGATTTGACTTTTGCAGATACACACTTTGCGATATTGATGCTCAAATGGTACATTGTTGAGCCCTAGTCAAATATAAATTGCCCAGTGGAAAAAAATGAATGGAGCTTTTACTCCTAAAATGTGAATTAATAGCATCAATTTTAGTTTAGGACTACTGTATCTGTGCAGCCAACCAACGAAGGCAGTTTGTATTTTTACAAATATAGTGAAATTGTACAAATTTAGTGAAGCTAAAGGTGCAAAAATGACCTACTTAAAAGGGTGGTCCATTACGATATCATTTTTTATACTTTAGTTCACGTGTAATGTAGCTGTGTGAACATAAACAACATATCTGAATGTAATAGGCTCAAAGTTCAGTGCAAAGTGAGACATTAGCCCCTTTCACACAGTAATAGCGGTAAATATCCAGAAAATTTCCATAATTACTTTTTTTTAAGACTATTCACACATCCATTAAAAACACCTGTAAATTCCGACATCATTAACTAGAAATGACCACTAGACGGCAGCACTTGTATTTCTAAACATAGAAGGGGTCTGCCTTTTCTTGATGGTTTCACTTTTATCTAAAGCTTTAGCATTCATACAGCTGCTTTGTGAGACATCCAAAGGCAGAAAAGCAAACCACAGCTGAATGTTTTCACACTTGACTACATTGCATAGTTCTGTGGATGGATAAGTATTGTGAACAACGTATATGAAAACATATGGAGTAACACTTTCAGATGTTGAGATATGTGTGTGTGCTGGCGCTCAACGGCTGCTTTACATGCACACGCGTCAAGCAACTGAAGCAGAGCTTGAAGGTAAACAAACAGCGATTTATCATAAGCATGTTATCAATCATTTTTTCCACAGTTGGCATTAAGAAGGAACATAGAAACATCATCTGACTAACATTTAGCAGCTAAATGTGTCCGGAAATTTTATTTTTATAAACTGCATGGATGTGAGTGTTCTGATTGAAATTCTCTTTCCAGAAAATTGTGAAAGGGGCTATAGGTAGGGCCAGACAGAATCTGTGGCCATTTTTTTAATATATAATTTTGTCAAAAATCTGTGGATTTATGTGGAAGGATTTTGGGAGCATCATAAATAAAGCCTTAATACATGAAATAAAAAATAATACTTTTAAAACTTTTATCTAATGTTTACAATGCAAATCCAATTAGATCCACCTTATTTTGGTAAACAAAGCAAGTCTCTCATTTAATATCTCTACCACAAGACTGAAAATATTACTTTACAAACTGCATTGTAAATAAAATAAGGGATGCACGATATATCGGCGGCCATATTGTTATCGGCCGATAAATGCTATTTTTAAGATTATCGTTATCGATCCAATGTCTAAATTATGCCGATATCAAATTAGGTTATTGTGAAAAACTGCCTGCCTCGCGCATGTGTGGGCAGAACTTGTTCAAACTTGTCCAGTGCACTATAATGGAGCTCTCCTTCCTTCAAAGTCCACCCTTTCTTCATGTGGTACTGCTGTGCGTTAATAACTCAGTAAGTAACCATGTTCCTTATCATTGTAGATATGTTTGATTGAGTGCCATTGTGTATTTTGGTTTAAATCATCTCAGGAAAAAAATATTACATGTGCAAACATCACAGCAGCGATGCACACGTGCTGAACTACTGGTTGGGTTGTTTGTAATCTAAAATTATTATTTGTTATTATCAACGTACCATGTGTTGTTGATGTAAGATTGTATTCAGTTTGATCGGAATATTCATAGATTAAACCGAGCACGCATGAGAGCTGTCACCTCACACACACACACACACACACTGATCAGACAGCC